TGTTGGAATAATAAAAATAATCCCTCCATCTCTCTGAGTGCCAACCGACTTCACTGTCAAAGACTCTCATATAGCTGTAATACTTGGCTGTATCACAGAGCTGTAACACTTGGCTGTAATGTTGAGCTGTTTCACTTTGCTGTAACAATAGTACAACCGGAGGACTTCACACTCCCTCAACTACTCTTCACATGGACAGATTCTCGACCATCAAACTGGTCATTATCTTCCAGACATGTTATCATGTTTCTCCCCCCCCCAGTCTTTATATGGACCTTAAGTCTAAGATTTTTAACTACAGTTAACCCTAGTGTTGACTCTTTTTAACTGAGTTCATATGGGTCAGTATTAAAATGAAAGCCCAAAGCCACTAAGACAATCCCCAGGAATAACCTAATATTTTCTCAACTATTAGGTTCAGGATTTTAACAGTGATAGAGAAATGCAAGTTGCTCTTAGCTGGTTCTTCTACCAACTGAAGGTCATTCAGAAGGAAGCTAAATCATGTCTGGAAATGTCATCCAAATCACTGTAAAACTGCAAGTTTAATATATATAAGGTTTGTTTTATACACAAATTTTAAGGAACATGCAAATTACACAAAAATGTATAACTATTGTTAGCACATTTTGAGCTCTCATTAATCAAGACATTTAGGATGTCTCCCTTGTCAAAGAGTTCAATTATTTATTCCAACAAATATATGTACACCTACTATGTGCTGGGCAGTATTTGAATAGTTATCAGTATACAATGATGGACATAGTCAATAAGTTCTCTGTTACTGTGGAGTTTTAAACTAAGACAGAAAATACATAGATAAGCAAAAGAGGTCGTTCCATCTGCCCCCAAACTTTCAAGTGTATTCTCTTTAATTGCCAGACTAAATCATTTAATCTCCAGTGAATACACATAATGTACAATTTTGGAAAAATATAGGCTTTAGGATGCTTATTTGAGGAAATTCATTTGATCTTCAATACAAACATAAATATAGACATTAAATAAACTATCAAAAATAGTTATATATTTCTTAGGTTTCAGATACAATCTTTAATCTCTACTTGTCTGGCTAGATAAAGAATTTTTATTTCATTGTTTTACATATTAAACATTTCTGCTAAGAATCTCACAGCAAATTAATACTATTGAGAGGGGAAAGTTAACAGTCAATGTGTCATGCTCCTAATTTTAATCCATTACATAAAAAATATGAGTGGCACAATTAAATATCAGCAGGACCTCCTAAATGTCTTCTAGAAGCCAAGTAAAGGCTTGGCTTTCCAGTACAAATACTCTCTCAACTCTGACAAGGACACAAGGCCATAATTTGAACAAAATAGGAAAGGTAATAGTTACATATCAAGAGCATGTGACTGTAATACCCAGTTCCTCTTCCAAACACAGAAGTTTTATGTGTACTCAGTGCATCAAAGACACCTACAAACATCTCTTACTATTTTGACAGGGCAATTGCGAATTTCTTGCTAGTTACATGAAAATTTTTTAGCCTTCCTTTCTAACACATATATTTTAAGACCACCCAAATGGTTTGCCAATTAAGTTTCCATATTTAGTAATTGCAGTGTGTGGTGCACACATTTATTAAAAGGAAACACAGTCCACAGTGAAAACCACTGAAGTCCATTGTTAAAATGTACAATGTAGCTAATGAGTATCTGAGGTCTCAAAGGAGTCTGGTTAGAAACTATACTATTTATGCCTCTCATTATAATCTTGCTAAATTAAATTTTAAATGTTATTATTTTCTCCAAGAGATTTTCCCTTACTTGAATAGTAGAAGAAACTAACTTGTATAATAAATGATCTGAAGTAATACAACATAATAAAAGCATGTGAGACCTCATAATTACTTTCTACAATATATTTTTCTTTTTTGAACTTATTTTGTTTATTAAATTAGGTTGCAGGTCCCATGCACACACCAAATGTCAGCAAGAAGCCCTTGTCTGAAAGTACAGTTATAAAACTAAATATACCATTTTATAGAAAAACCACATCTTCTTTATCCAGTTTCCAACTGATGGGCAAATGGGGTGTTTCCAAGTTTTAGCTATTACAAACTGTGCCGCTATAAACATAGGTGTGCATATATTACTGTGATATGATTCTTTTAATTCTTTTGTAAAGATACCCAGCAGAAGGATGGCTGGGTCCTAAGTGAAAGAAATAAGTCACACGTGTGTAAATACCGAATAGTTTCTCTGGTGTGAATAAACTATAATAGTGCGTGAGATCCTAATGAGATAATTGACAATGTGAAATAGGAAGAAAAGGGCTAAAGGTGTAGGTAAAGGCTAGGGGAAAGGTAATAAAGGAAAAGAAAAAAATATGAGAAAATGAAAAAATGGAAACAAAGTGCTTGTAAATGAGGAGGGGAGGAGTGGGTGAAGGGAGGGCAGGGACAAGGGGAAAAAATGAGAACCAAGACTTGTCATATAAAGGTACATGATTCCAATAATGAATGTAACTGTATACCTAAAATGTACCAATAAATTCAATTTAAAAAAACTAAATATAATAATGATGCAATAATAAAATAGGTAAGTCCCCAAAGGACACTTGAAAACTGACTATGAATTATTACTCATCATAAGAGAAAATGGAATACTCTCATATTAGTATATTTGTCAGGATGAACTAAATCACAAGAAAAACACATTTACCTAAAAGAGCTCTGAAAATCACAAGCAACTTAACTAGAATTTTGTAGAATTGTAATTAGCAATCAAGTAGAGATTGAGTTATGATAAGGAGGATGATAGAAATGAATTTAAAGATATCTGGAAGGTGAAAGGACTCTATCTTATTTATGTGCACACATGAGTCTATAGAGAAATTAAGGCAAAGCAATGTAAGCAAAATTGTTCAAAAATGAGAAATAGAACTAGAGTCCAGTGGCAGAAGCCTTTAGTAATCTATGTAACTTTCTTCTAGTTCATATAGCATTTTATATTTTTGCAACTTTAACACATGTTAGAAATACTTTTTGTGCTATTTTATTAATATTCTTCCTTTTAATAACCATTTTATACATTTATTGACATTTATTTTTTTGTAAGAGGCAGACACTGTTTCAAGGATTCTACGTCATTCAAGCCTCACATTAGTTTTGTGAAGTGTGACTATTATTTCCATTTTACAGATGAGGAGGCCATGAAACATGGCTCCATTAGCCATGTCCTTAACTACTGCAGTGTTGAAAGGTAGCCCTCAAAAGATATGTCCACATCCTCACCCTCGGAATCTGTGACTATAACCTTATTTGGCGAACAAGTCTCTGTGGATGTAACTAAGGATCTTAAGGTGCAGAGACGCTCCTGAGTTGTCTGAATAGGCTCTAAATCCAATGACAATGGTCCCTATAAAACACCAAAGGGGAGACACATAGGACAAGAACATTTGGGGACAGAGAAAGACACTGAGGTGATGTGACTGCAAGTTAAGGAACTGAAATCACCAGAAGATATCAAGGGTTGAACATGAATCCTCCCCAGGAGCCCGAGGAGACCTTACAGCCCTGTCAGAACAGTGAGACAATTTGCGTTATTTAAGAAAGCCAGCTTGTAGCAATTTGTTATGGCTGTCTTAGGAAACTGAAACAACGCCCATATTATATTACCACTGTCAATGAACATAAAGGGTCTCTTTATGACCACCCCATATTTTAACTTCTGACACAGACCTAACTGAGCTTCTATCTCTTTACCACAAAAGGATTCTCTGCAATGGATTCCTTACGTGGCACATTTCCCTGAATGCTGTGTCCACTGAAAGTTCTTTACTAATTTCTACAATTCAAAATCCATGGTTTTATTCAACATCAAAGCAATGACAATGTAGGCTTTCTGCTGTTAAAATAATAGATGCCTTTTCCCTATTTTCAGCCTATTTCACACACTAATTAAATTAGTACAAATAATATGGAGCCTACTTGTAGATGAGAATACAATTCATTATAACATTACTATTCAAAAAAATTCTAACATTTTAATCCAGAAAATAATTGAAGTTATATGCAAATACTTATTTAATATGTGCTTATAATAAAATAAAGAACATGCATAGATCACATTTTAAAATATATTTATAGTGTTACAAATATCCCATGACACCCTTCTGATTGATTTATTCTTACTGAACATTATTTCCAATCCTATTAGATATTGTGTTGGACAGTCTCTGTTTGTCCATCCACATCTACTCTTCACCCTCCTCTGCCTGCACTGGGTTCCAGTGTTGATGGGGAAAACCATCCAAAGTCTCACTCATAGGATTCAGATGGTTAAGATTTAGGACTTTAGAGCTATGAGGTTCTGGATCTCACTCATGACTTTCTTGAGCTTTGGTCATGGGTAATTTCAGTTAATGGGAGACACTGGCAGATGTGGGGGGTAGGAGGAAAGCGAGGGCAAGAGATTTGTTCTCTACCCTCTCCCACTTCAGGACTGAAGGGCAGCCATAGCTATATGCTCTCCTCAGGGTGATGGGCCCTGGCTTTTCGGAGACTCTACCCATACCCAGAATTCTCCTGGTAAAGCTGGCCTGTCTTTGTCTTTCAAGCCTTGTGTGATCAAACTGCATCTCTCTGTACTAAAACACTGCTGCTTCCCATCAATCATTTTTCTTTACCCCACCTACACATCCAGAAATAGTCTCTGCAGTATACTCTTCCACTACCCCTTTGAGTATCCCTGGATCTCTTCTGCCAGACTTTCACTGGAACAGCAACTGCATATCATTCTGAGGGCATCAGTCTAAAATACTGAGTAATATCTTCCTATAAATAAAATTATTCCACATTTTCTGAACACACCTAGTTTTAAAGAATTACAACTGGCTACAAATAATGTGAGTCTTTTTCTCATTCAATATCAACACAAATGAATAATGGTAACAGGGTGACTGTGTTCTTCCTGGACATTTGTTCCTGGAATCCAAATGGATTCTTTTAACTGAATGATTTTGGTTCCAAATACCTGTCATCACCATCAATGATGCACTCAGGGAAAGCGAGACTACAGCCAAATAGCATGATATATTTATAGCAACTGAGGCGTTGGAGGTAGGTGAAGAACTTGAGGAACTTCTCTGTTTCTATGTTTTCAGTGGTTGAGATTAGAGATGTGGGTGTGATGTGATAGGGCAACATCTGACACTGGCTGTGGGTGATGTTCATGCAGTCACCTGGGAAGTAAAGACAATGACATTTAGAAGTAGACACATCAGAAATATGTTTGCAGACTCATTGGATATAACAGGTTAATATATTGATAAGAAAAAGTATATTCTATAAGTAATTATTACAGTAAAAATAAATATAAATGCAACCATACATTTCTATATCCATACACATAAGTATGAATATGTGTGTGCCTATAATGACACCAATCCACTAACATTTACAGAGGTAAATAAATTGTGTTCTGAACAAATGTGTAAAAAAATACATGTTTTCATACATAGTGGTTTGAGTTGATAGCTGGGCAGGATCATTTTTAAAAAAATTTAGGGCCCGGGATTTAGCTCAGTGGTGCTGTCACCTGCCTCACAAGTACAAGGTTCTGAGTTCGATTCCCCACTACCAAAAAAAAATTTTTTAAACATATATATACTTTCACACTACCATATCATTTTAAGAAATTTATCCTATGGAAATCATTGCAACTGTGAACATAGATTTATCTACAGGGATTTTCATTTCTGCATAGTTTACTATTTTTAAGAGACATAAATACATGTAAATATTCAACAAAGGGGATTGGTTTGAAACATTGGGAAACAAACAAAGAATACTTAAGTGTGTAAGAGGTGCTTTGGAAGATTATTTAATCATATGGAGTGATGCTTATAATAAAGCAAAAAATCAAGTCACAAAACAACTTGTATACCATGATTTTGTTTCTGAAAATATACAATTATACAAAGATTGGCAAGCCTGCTCGTTTCAGAGTTCAAGGCCTTCCAGAGCCTCTGATTTTCTCTCCTTTCATAGCTGGTTCTTCTGGGCACCATCGCATTCCATGGCCTTTCCAACTCTGTCTAGAAACTGCTCTGGTTGGTAACACTGGCATGGGTCCCTATAATGGGACTTTAAGGAGATTATTATAGTTTTTCTTTCATTCCCTATTATCTTATAGGTTTATATAAAGATTTGTTACTTTTATTTTAAAAGGAGAAAGTTAAAAATTTGGTATTGTTATTTATGCAAACTACTGTTTAAAAGTAGAATCTCCAGACTTTAGAAATGGAACAGAATTCATTCTATTTTTAGGGAGGAAAAGATTATAAAGGAAAGGGAACATCTCCTCTGATTGCTGTATAATTCCCAGGTAAATGAAAGGGATATCTGCTCCAAACAGGAGGCTAACTCCATTTTAATAAAATAATGCTAAAAAGTAAGGCTGCATCATTACACAATGGCCAAACTAACATTTCATCTGTAATGCAGAATAAACACACCCTATGGTCAACTTCATTCATTCTGACAGATCACAGTCTTCTCTACCCCTCCTTCCAAACTCATTAACGATCACTTTTCTTTCAAACTTCCCTGAAAATGCCCCAAGCCCCATAGGAATCGTCTCTCCCAAATGACCAAATTGTACTCATGAGATCGAAGGATCTCACTCTCATAAAAAAAAAAAAATCCTCATTGTTAGATCATTAATGGCTCCAAATATGCTAAGCTTAGTAAGTCAAGATCAAAATATGGTTTCTACTTTCAAAGGTAACCAACCACACAGGGAATTTCTATCTCAGACCTTAGAATAGACCACATCGCCACTTCTCTTCAATATAGTTCTGGAAACATTAGCCACAGCAATTAGACAAGAGAAAGAAATTAAAGCAATAAAGATAGGAAAGGAAGAAGTTAAACTATCATTATTTGCTGATGATATGATACTCTACATTGAAGATCCAAAAAACTCCACCAAAAAACTTCTAGACTTAATTGACAGATTCAGTAAAGTATCTGGATACAAGGTGAATACCCAAAAATCAATAGCCTTTCTATACACAAATAACAGACAGACAGAAAGAGAAATAAGGGAAAAAATTCCTTTTACAATAGCATCCAAAAAAATGAAGTATCTAGGAATCAATCTAACAAAAGAAACAAAAGATCTCTACACTGAAAACTACAGCACTCTGAAAAAAGAAATCGAAGAGGATATAAAAAAATGGAAAGATATCCCCTGCTCCTGGGTAGGAAGAATCAACATAGTGAAAATGGCCATACTACCGAAACTGCTATATACATTCAATGCAATGCCAATTGAAATTCCAACACTATATTTCACAGAACTAGAAAAAAGAATCCAAAAATTCATTTGGAACCACAAGAGACCTAGAATAGCAAAAGCCATTATAGGCAACAGTCACATGGCACCAGGTGTAACAATTCCCAATTTGAAACTATACTACAAAGCCACTGTGATAAAATCAGCATGGTACTGGCAAAGAAATAGGCCTGAGGATCAATGGAACAGACTGGAAGACACAAAAACAAATGCAGATGTACTCAGCTACCTCATCTTCGACAAAGGAGCTCACCATCCTCAGTGGAGGAAAGATAGCCTCTTTAATAAATGGTGTTGGAAAAACTGGATATCAACCTGTCACAGATTAAAATTAGACCCTTATCTTTCGCCATGCACTAAATTAAAATCCAAATGGATTAAAGATCTAAATATTAAAACAGAAACATTAAACTTGCTGGAAAGTAAGTTAGGCAGAACTCTGGAAGACATTGGTATAGGAAAAGACTTTATGAACAAATCCTCAGTAGCACGGGAACTAGCAGAAAGAATCAACAACTGGGATCTCATCTTACTAAAAAGCTTCTGTACTTCAAAAGAAACCATTAGCAGAACTAAGAGACAATCTACAATGTGGGAAAAAATTTTTACCAGCTGTACCTCAGACAAAGGACTATTATCAAGGATATATAAAGAACTCAAAACAATCAGTCCCCCCAAATATAAAGACCCGATCCAAAAATGGGCATCCGAAATGAACAGACATTTCTCATACAAAGAAGTGAAAGCAGCAAGAAAATATATGAAAAAATGTTCCACATCACTGGTCATTCGAGAGATGCAGATGAAAACAACACTGAGATTCCACCTCACCCCACAAAGAATGGCTGCTATCAAGAAATCACACAATAACAAATGTTGGCGGGGTTGTGGGGAGAAAGGAACCCTCCTCCATTGTTGGTGGGAGTGCAGACTAGTGCAACCACTATGGAAATCAATATGGAGATACCTCAAAGAGCTTGGACTGGAGGTTCCATTTGACCCAGCCATCCCTCTGTTGGGTATCTTTCCAAGAGAACTAAAAGAATCATATCACAGAGAAGTATGTGCACCCATGTTTATAGCGGCACAGTTTGTAATAGCTAAATCTTGGAAACAACCTATTTGCCCATCCGTTGGAAACTGGATAAAGAAGTTGTGGTTTTTCTATAAAATGGAATATTACTCAGCCATAAAGAGCGAGAGAATAGATTCATTCATAGGAAAATGGATACATATTGAAGATATACTCCTAAGTGAAATAAATAAGTCCCACATGTGTAAATACCGAATAGTTTCCCTGGTGTGAATATTCTGCAACAATGCATAAGATTCTAATAAGATTACTGACATTTAGAAATGGGAGGAAAGGAGCTAAAGGTGTAGGGAAGGTGTGATACGTAGGGGAAGAACAAAAAGGGAAAAGAAAAAAATGTGAGAGAATGAAAAGATGAAAATAAAGTGTTTGTAGATGGGGAGGGGAGGAGGGGGTGAAGGGAGGGCAGAGGTAAGGGGAAAAAAATGAGAATCAAGACTTGCCATGTAAAGGTACATGATCCCAACAATGAATGTAACTGTACTGTATCCCTAAATGTACCAATAAACTCAATAAAAAAAAAAAAAGAATTTAAGGACACAACATATTCATTGTAGTTCACCAGATTGAAAATGCAAACTGAGAAATGAGGAAATTAAAGGGCAAAATATCAAAGTGAAAATATGGAAGGAGAACATAAAGAGATGCACAAAATTATTCCATTTCACGTAAGTGCTGCGGCAGAGTGTTCCGGGCAGGCTTCAAGAAGATGGTACTTAAGTTATTTAACTGAGAGAAAGTAAAATACATCTCAGTGCAAAAGAATATTACAGGCCAGGAGAATACACAGACAGCAGACTCTGTGCCACAACTGTGTACTGTACTACGAGCACAGAAGCTTGCTGATAAGAGCTGAGAGGGGAATATTTCTCAACCAACAATATGAAAATATTTGCAACAGAATAGAGAAGGCACTTACTGAGAACTAACTTATGCCGGGCACCAAAACAGACAGGCAGACTCTCATTCACCACTATCTCATTTGAAGAACCCAATGAAGTGATGCATGATACAGGAGGAAACACCACTTCGGATGGCTAAGAAATCTTCCTAGGGTACATAGCCATCCAAGCACATTCCAAAGGTGAGGCCTAGGACTACCGAGTAACTTCCACCTGGAGGCAACTTCTGCTAGTGTAAAGAGGGTTCTTATGTTAAAAACAGTTCTTAAACAAGATAATTCCTGATGGGCCATAAAAGAAAAACACTAAAAGGTGTCTAATATCACAAGGTCTGTGTATTGTTTCTGCTGCTAGCAGCATAATACTACAAACTGGGTACATTATAAAGAAAAGAGGTTTATTTTGGCTCGTGATTCTGGGAGTCAAGGGTGAGGGGCCACATCTGGCAGGAACTGCTGGAGACTCTGGAGTCCTAAGGCAGCGTGGGGCATCACACTAAAGAAGCAAGCAGGTTTGCTGGCTCACATCTCTCTTCCTCTTAGAAAGCCACTTACAGAGAGACCTCACGCTCAAGGCCTTACCTACATCAAATACTATTTCCATATGATTTTGAGGACTCAGTCTCCAATGCAAGAAATTTGAGGGGCCACTTTTAAACTACAGCAGTCTATGATCTTGATTCTTATTTTTCCCCATGTCCCTACCCTCCTTTCACCCCCTCCTCCCCTCCCCATTTACAAACACTTTATTTCCATTTTTTCAATTTCTCATATTTTTTCCTCTCCCTTATTACCTTTCCCCCACCCTTCCCACTTTCCCTACACCTTTAGCTCTTTACTTCCTATTTCACATTATTAATTATCTCATTAGGATCCTGTGTACTATTAT